TTCTCACCGAACTTCACGACGCTCCCACGGCTGGACACCTTGGCGTATCCCGCACGTACGAGCGCGTCCGGCGCCGTTTTTTCTGGCCAGGCCTTGCTCGTTCGGTACGCCGATACGTCGCCACATGTGACCTATGCCAACGTCGTAAGACACCATCGCTGCTACCCGCTGGCCATCTTCAACCAATTGACATACCCGCGGAACCATTTTACCGTGTTGGGTTAGACCTGCTTGGTCCTTTTCCCACATCAACATTGGGAAACAAATGGATAGCCGTTATCACAGACTACGCTACACGCTACGCTATTACGCGAGCTCTACCGACCAGCTGTGCAACCGACATCGCTGACTTCTTGTTACGGGACGTTATATTGATTCACGGTGCGCCGAGACAGCTTCTCACAGACCGTGGCCGTACATTTTTATCCCAAGTCATCGCCGACATTCTGCGTTCTTGTTCGACGCAACACACACTGACAACCGCTTACCACCCTCAAACAAACGGCCTTACGGAACGATTTAACCGCACTTTAACAAATATGCTCGCTATGTACGTGTCGCCCGACCACTGAGACTGGGACCTTGCCTTACCCTACGCAACTTTCGCGTATAATTCATCCCGTCACGACTCAGCGGGCTTTTCGCCGTTCTACTTATTGTACGGAAGAGAGCCGACTTAACCACTGGACACAGTCATCTCAGCTCACACCTCGTCCACCAGCGAGTATGCCCGCGACGCGATTGCGCGAGCCGATCATGCCCGTCAGCTCGCTCGCGCTCGGCTGATGGCGTCGCAAACTAACCAATGCCGTCGGTACGATGCGGAACATAGAGACGTACATTTCGCTCCCGGTACCCTCGTTTTACTCTGGTCCCCTCATCGTCGGCTGGGCCTATCCGAAAAACTTCTGTCTCATTACACGGGACCCTATCGTATATTGCGTCAAGTGACACCTGTCACCTACGAGATCAGCCCCATCTGCCCATCATCATCTACTATGCGGCCCAGTGATATCGTACACGTCTCGCGGATCAAGCCCTACAATAATGCGTCAGATAACGACCTTTAAAGCACCGGGACGGTGCCTCCGCCGCCGGGGGTCATGCTACGTGCCAGTGCATGGAGCTGAAGAAGACGAAGCAGATAGACTGGCACGAGCTAATCTGTGTGGCTGGCGCTGCTCGCCTAACCGTCTGTAAATACATCGGTGACTACCCCTCTGAGTCAGTCTCCTTCACGTAACAATATTTTGTATATATATATATATATATATATATATATATATATATATATATATATATATATATATATATTGAATATTGTGTCTCATGCATCCTACTTTACTTGAAACTTTCCTCTGTACTTTCTCTCGATCATAAAAACACTGCAAGAACAGCACATGAGCAACAAGCATCTGTCGCAACAACCAACTTGTCTGACTTACTAACGTTATTGGCTTTCTCTGCAAGTGAAATGTCAAATCCACTGAGTTGAAAAGCACTCTTGTTTTCATGCCTGATTGCAGCTCACATAAGCCACCGTAATCAGATCTCAACATTCAGGAGTTGAGCAGCTAAATATGCTGTGCAAATACGCCAGCAACAATGCAATGGGTGTTATAGAGATTTGCTTGAAGAAATAAAAAAGTTCAGAAAGAATTGTACCAAGCACGATTTGGCGGCATGCTGTCTTCTGAAGTGCAATTTCCCTTTGGCACCTAGCCAAATGTGATTTGTAACCAGCTTATCTGAAAGCACGTCTCTTTTCATTCTTTTGACCGAGTCTGGCAAGGTAACCTCAACAAATTTTTTCTAACGTGTTTTCTGTAATAGCGACAAAACACAACACTTGCAGAGAGAGGTGACATGCTAGTACATAAATTGTTCCTGCCAGAAAATTACACAAATGAAGTTCAGAGCTAAAAATTTGAAATCATTCAGATCCACTCAACTGTTTGTCAATATAGGATTGTGCCCTGAAAGTCACAGCAGTTTGAGACTTAGTTTGTGCAACTGTATCCACTACCTGACAGAAACAGTCCAACCCCTACTTCCCCTAACAAGCAGAAAGTGATATTAGGTTTTCTTACTTTTTTTTAAAAAACTCTCCTCCACACCTTTCTCAGTGCTAGTCACGATAAACATTATAATAATAATAATAATGGTTTTTATTTCCACCAATACACAGTTGATGGAGGGGGTGAGAATAAAAGCGATTATCCGCTTGACTAAGTTCTCACCCCCCAATGTACATAAGGCAGTGGCGGTGGCGGCAACAGAACACCACAGCTGACAAGAATACACAACATTAACAAAATTAGAATTGATAAAGCCTTCAAACTAAAAAAGAAAAAAAAAAAACCCACACAGACACAGTGCAATAAACATATATAGTAATATAAATCAAAAGTCGCAATATGTAAAGCACGAATACATTAAACATATTATTTACATGCAGCGGTGACTGCATTTTCATCCTTTGTGTTTTTGTTTATTGTTTTCCCTAATTGTTATCTACGAACTTTGAAGATAAGGTCTTAATTGTCAGGAGTGTTAATAAGATATTGGCGAAGTTGAGAAAGGGTGATATCTGCTATGTTAACACCTGATGAATATAACCTGTTTAATTGTAACGGTAGCTGATAAGTAATTTTTTGTTGTCCATAGTTAGTTCTTATACGAGGAAGCATCCAAGGTGGTTGATGACGGTGAGGGTACTTTGATTGATAACGTATCATGGAAGCGATATCTGTAATAGTAAATGAACGTTTTTTTTGTTCGATCTTATAGCGGCGTAAAAGCCTGTAAATGTATAGGTGGTAAACATTGATGATTTCATGTTCACTAAACAAGTGATCTGTTGTATGTCTGTGAGGAAGGTTGTAAATTAGACGGAGGATTTTATTATGGAGTGATGAAATTTTTCTTAAATTAGTTTTAGTCGTTGTCGCCCACACTAACGTGCAGTAGTTCAAGTGTGAAAGGAATAAAGCGTGGTATATAGCAAGCTTTGCCTTTAAAGGTAAAACAGATTTATGTCGCCAAAGTATACCAACCACTCTCGATGCTTTTAATAAAATGTTGTGGACATGATCATTCCATTGCAAATGTAGTGTGAAATAAACTCCTAGTGATTTTATTGACCTGACAATTTCAACTGGCTGGGATTTATACAGCAAATGTACTAAAGTATCAGATTTTTTATTAATAGAATTAAAAATTATAGCTTTAGTTTTATTTACATTAACTGACAGTGCATTTTCCTTTGTCCAAACTTCTAGCTTACCTAATACATTGTTACCACGGGAAGATAGCTCATTGTGTGTATCAGCTGACAAAAGGATTGTAGTGTCATCCGCATAAATAATAAACCTGGATTGATCATCAATGTTCGCAATATCATTAATATAAATGTTAAAGAGAAGAGGCCCAAGTATACTGCCCTGTGGCACACCGGCTGTAATATCACGCGTTTTGGACTGAAAATTGCTGATTTGAACGTACTGCTTCCGATGAGATAAATAAGATTTTATTAAATCTAAAGCGTGCCCTCTAATACCACATAAATCCAATTTTCTAAATAAGATACTGTGTACTATGCAGTCAAATGCTTTGGTAAAATCTACAAAAATGCCTAACACGAACTTATTTTTTTCTAATTTATCAAGAATATATTCTTTTTGATGAATCAAAGCAATTTCCGTAGAACGGTTTTTTCTAAATCCATACTGAGAATCATTGATAATATTGTTAGATTGTAAAAACTTGTCCATGCGTTTCAGTATGATTTTTTCCAGACATTTAGAAAAAACAGGAAGGATACTAATTGGCCTATAATTGCTAAAGTCATTTTTGTCTCCCTTTTTGTAAAGCACAATTACTTTTGCTATTTGCATAGCCGAAGGAAATGTAGCGGTTTGCAGGCACAAATTAAAGATATGTGTAAGCGGCACACAGATTAATTCAATGACATATTTTACTGGACGAATTTGTATGTTGTTTAAATCACATGACGTACTGTTTGAAAGCTCAAGAAACGTTTGCGTTACTTCACTCTCACCTACTGGTTCAAGAAAAAGAGTAGATGAACATCTGGCAGTAGGGGTGTCTTGTGAGTTATGTGGTGTAGAATGATCCCTTGCGAAGTACAAACTAAATGCCTCAGCTAATTTTTCCCCTGTGTAATCTTCTCCTTTATGAGTGATCTTGTCGAAATGCGTATCCTCAATGAAATTAGCGTCCAGAGAACGGATTTGTTTCCATAGTTTATCAGGATGCCGAAATGAATTTTCGAATTGTTTTTCATAATATCGCTTTTTGGCATTTCGGATGTCACTGGTCAACTTGTTTCTGTAGCTTTTAAACTCTTGAAACAGCTGTGTGCTTTTGGAGGCAATGTATGTGTTATAGAGTTTATTCTTCTGTTTAATGCGTGTATGAAGTTCATTACATATCCAAGGTTTTCTTATCTTTTTCATAGTACGTTTCTTTTTTAGCGGAAAGTGCCTATTATAAACACCGCAGAATTTACTAAGAAACTTTTCATAAGCTGCCTCTGCATTAGTTTCATTGAACACATCACTCCATGACATAAGTGACATTTCACTGTGAAAATTTTCAAGAGCATTAGGTGTGACGTACTGAACCATTGGGGTACATGTGTGTTTAGATCTAGGCTGCTTTTTCTGAAAAAACAAATAAATGCCCATGTGGTCACTTAAATCGCAACAGATTACCCCTGAATGTATAACAGAATTGTTAATATTAGTAATAAACAGGTCAATCAGTGTTTCTGAGGTAGTAGTTATACGAGTAGGAAGCTTAGTAACAATACTGAAGCCAAAACTTCTTAACAGCACATCAAAATCAATTGCATGGGCAGAATTAGACATCATGTCTATATTAAAATCACCGCCCATAATGACATCATAGTGATGCGCAGAAATAAAAGAAATATATGATTCAATGTACTCAAAAAATACGTCAACATCTCCACTGGGTGGTCGGTAGAACACTGAATAAACGGTATTATTTGCCAATACAGAAACAACCTCAACAGCAGATGACATGCAACAAAGTTCCGAGATCAATTCACATTCGATTTTCTTATTAACGAAAATGCAAACACCTCCACCACGACCCACATTACGATTGACGGCAAATGTGGAAAATGATGGCAAACAAAAGCTACTGCTCAGCCATGACTCAGATACCATGACGAAATCAAAAGACAGGTTAAAACTGTCTAACAAAATTTGCAGTTCATCAGCCTTATTGTTCAGTGATCGTACATTCAAATGAAAACATTTCACTGATGAGCCCAACCAATCGGTAGGCATGACGCTGCGAATGTTGCAAGGCAACACGAATCTATTGTTAGCCATTTTGACGTGATGTTCACATATTATGTGCTGACGTGCCTAACCACAGTAAAATTAGCCAGCTGACTCGCGTCCCTGACAACATGGGACGGTTCGCCATCTTTCCTGCGGATGAAGATTTTCCCGTTTGCATACCACACGTAACGGAAGCCATTATCGCGAGCCCATTGCTTCACAGTCCACAATAGTGTTCTTGCCCTGCGCGTTAGGTTTTCCGAAAAGTATATGTTTGCATCCTTTTCCTTTAGTAATCGCCTTTTCTGCAGCCACATATCCCTCAGCTTTTGGCTTTGAAAACGTATGATAATGGCGGGGGTCTTATTTGCCTTCGCCGGAAGGCGATGATAAGCTTCAAGGTCGTGATCGCTGACCTCAGGAACTTGGATCATCCTGGCTATCTCGTTTATCTTTTGGAGTAGATTCTCGTGCTCGTTGAAAAGTTTCCCATGAATTTCCAAGTTTCGGCTCCTGCTACGCATTTCCAGGTCATTCAAGTCAGAGTTTATCTGGTGTAGTTCCTCGTCAGGCCTTGCTCGTTCCAACTGTTCAGTTCTCTTACGGAGCTGCTCAATTTGTTTATCTTGGCTGTCCAATCGCTTCAGAATGGTATCGAAATGATCAGACATTGTTTGCACTGCCTGTTCAATGCTGTTCATCTTTTCATTTAGTGGCATTAGAAAATCAAGTTTTTGACTTAACTCCGCAAAAGCAACAGCAAAGTTAAAATCCTGACGAGCCGCAGCAGCGGCACCTGCACCGACGCATGGCGCACCAGTTTTACACGTGGAACACACATAGTTTTTGCGAGAATTGGTGCCACTTCTCGTCTTATCAAGCGGCTCAGTCAGTCCAGAGCACTGTTCGATGTGATAAGAATTACCACACTTTTTGCATTTCACTTTAGCATCAGTAGTTTCTAGGGTAAGCATGCAAGCAAGGCATATGTCCTCCCCAGAAACACTCATCTCTCATACACCTCGAAAAGCATGACTACGACGACAAGTTTGGCAGTAGCAGCAACCAGCAGAAAAATAGGAAAAGGAAAACACTGTGTGAATGTGTGAAGACAAACCTGTGAAAAATGCAGATGAACACGTCAGAACGGGCGTCTATCGCCGGTCACCGCTACTGCCAAACTGCCGATAACAGGTGGGGGCAGGGGCGTCTCAGATCATGACGCAATCCCAATGTTTGCGATGCCAGATTCCGTCGGCCGCCGAGTCCTGGACATCCAAAAGAAGAATAATGTAGCAGTTGCCGGCGTTGCAAGGTACCACGCTCGTCAGTGCGGCAGAACCAGCTATCCAGAGAATAGGACCACCGGTATCAGCGGCAGGACAGGGACGAACCTGTGAAAAATGCAGATGAACACGTCAGAACGGGCGTCTATCGCCGGTCACCGCTACTGCCAAACTGCCGATAACAGGTGGGGGCAGGGGCGTCTCAGATCATGACGCAATCCCAATGTTTGCGATGCCAGATTCCGTCGGCCGCCGAGTCCTGTGAAAAATGCAGATGAACACGTCAGAACGGGCGTCTATCGCCGGTCACCGCTACTGCCAAACTTTGCACTAAAAGCCTGTTAATTTGACTGTTACGGTACTAGCGAAATTATCCGAAATAAAAGAATGCTGAATTACCCAAAGTAGCAAGAACACAACAAACAACTTTGTTATAACTTGCGTTTTTATTTACTCGATGAACAAGAAAATCGAGTGCCTACTTTGCATAAGAGCAGTGTAAAAGCTGCCACTTTTGTCTTTCGCCACATTCATCGCATGAGTGCCGCTGAAGGCCACTGTCTTCGGCCAAACGGGGTCTAACAACCACCACAATCAAGCACATAAAATATTTTTTCATCGAAATGATAGCTGCACATTAATATTCATCCAGATCTAATTCACTACAACAGCAGAGAACACCTACTAGCTGACGACAGCCGAAGAGCCTGCGAGAGCGACGATATCGCGAGGCTGGCTGCGACACCTCCTCTAACATAGCACCGTCACAAACAGGCTCACGAAACACCTGCAGGTATCTCGTTTCGGCGCATTTTAAACACTGTACCACAAGTTCGGAGACGATAGCCTTACCTCTGTATCCGCTCAGAGACCTTTCAGTGTTATTAACGCCCACAGCGTCGCTGTTCAGAAGCTAAATCACGGAACTCGGCCCATGAAGGGGGTAGGAATCACGCGCGAAAGACTCGCGTGATTAGAATAAAAAAGGTGAAACAACACAACTACGCCAACACGACTACGCCAAACACTCATGATACGCTCGCGGCCGTTTCGCTAGCTTCACATATGTCAAATTTGGTATTACGTGACGCCAATGGATGACGAAGGTATGTGACTGCATGGTGCAAACATGATCATCATGAGATGTGTGTCATGTGAGAGCATCACTACATGCCACAGTCAATTCGTCAATACATTTAGATGTGACGCGGTGACCGTGCTCACTGGCGTTCATTTCGTTGGGTCTGAAAAACACGTGCTGAAACAGCGTCGCAGGGCCCCTTTAAGGAGGAGATTTACCAGCCGACATGTATCGTCGCTAAAGTACTCGTTTCTCGCATTCAGTGTCACTGCCCAAACTTCACTGAGCGCGTTGCTTCCTACAATGAGAAGTCACCCCCTTAATATACGCTGTAAACGCGTATTGCTGGCCAGTTCGTGTTCTGTGTCTAGTGCCCTTCTATGAGACTAGATGGCCGCGCCAAAATGCCGTACGGTATACAGCACTTGATAACACTTTTTCGAAAGGCGACGCTGCTCTCAGTACACATCAACATCTGCGAAAAAGCCACAGTAGCCGAAGAAACATTTCCTAGATGTAGTTCTGCAATGCCTGAATTTGGCTCGTTGAAACAACTGAAAATCGATCGCAGCACATGCATGCACGGAAGCCACGATTACTGACAACGGCATTGGTCTTAACGTGTTTAACGGGCCAAGACGTAAGGAGTTGCAGGACGACGAGATTAGACGACGTTTGGTAATAACTACAACCTTCCCTCAGGTAATTTGAATATTAAATATAATGAAATATATCTATTATAAAACGATATAATTATTGATTGATTGAATGATTAGTTTATATATGGATTTATATGTGGGGTTTAACGTCCCAAAACCACCATATTGTCACGCAGCAAAGGACGACGCAGTTGTCTATAAGGGAAACAAGTTTATTGGAGTGAACCTGTGCTCCCCTAACAACTGAAAGAATACACAGGCGGCGAAGCAGCGGCCGGCAAAACGACGTGCACGCTAGTGAGCGTCGGCGATCGAATGACGCGGCATCGGCTGTGCGGGAATTTATATCCCTCGGCGCGAGGGTTTCTCGAATAGTCGAGTTGTATCGAGAACGCCGTGATAGCGTTTGTTAGAAACGCTGTTCGTTCGAACAGCGTTTCTAACAAACAACGCTTCAAGCGTTGTTTCTATCGAACAACGCCTGAAGCGTTGTTCGATAGCGTTTGTTCGAAACGCTGTGGTAGCGTTTGTTCGAAACGCTGTGAAAACGGCGATAGCACAGGCCGGCGCAGCCAGGCCGAAAAAACAAAACAGAAATAATCAAACCCAATGCATGCGTTCGCGGCAATATGATTATGAGAGACGCCATAGGGGAGGGCTTTGGAAATATCGACCACCTGAGGTTCTTTGATGAGCGCCCAAATCTCAGCACACGGGCCTACAGCATTTTCGCCTGCATCGAAAACGCAGCCCCCGCAGCCAGGATTTGATACCATGACCTGCGGGTCAGCAGCCGAGTACCTTAGCCACTAGACCACCGCTGCGGGGCTCTTCCCTCGTTTAGAAAGCGCTAACTGAAGTTTCAACCTCTCTGGCTAGAAATGTTTGCCTGGCTGGTGTACTCCAAATATCAGGACAAAGCTATGCAAGACATGTGTGCTTTCTGGAAAAGAAAGTTCAGGGATGGGAACTTGCAAAGTATTTGGTGTCTTGGTGCTCTTTCAGCTCACACGTTTTAAGAACGCCCTCAAAAATTTCAGAAGCCGAAACGAGTGTTACTATAACAAGACGACTGCTCCATACGCGAAGAGTTTCATAGAAGCAATCAAAGGCGAGTCAATCGTTGAAAATATGGAGTCATCAGCGCAAGCACAAAATCAATCAAACAGAAAAAAACTGATTTCCATCATAGACACTGTGATACTCTGTGGGCGACAAGGTGATTATGAGAGACGATCATGACAACTACAATACGATTAGGAGAGATGCCGTAGTGAAGCACTACGGAAATTTTATTACTTTGGTTCTTTACACTTGCACCAAAATCCATGTGAACGAGCATCGAGCATTTTCGCGTACATTGAAAATACGTCTGAGATTCAATTCTGCGCCTTGAGGGTCAGCTATGGAGCACCATAACCACTTGACCACCGTGGCGGGTAGTAAAAAAGATGGTTTGGGAAAAATCACTATGCGCTACTTTTCGTCCAGCTGTAAGAGGACAAGTTCAACTGCTGGAGATAAATTGCTGAAAATCACGTTCACACCATGTCAGAGTGATTCCGTTCTCTCCCGTTGCCTACTAGTTGCCTTTCAGTGGCTCCTTTCATTTGCGCAGGTTGTTAGCGGATACGAAAGGTTTGAATGGCAAAACGACAACCCAAATTTGGATGTGGCGATTCTCGCAAACTTTAGGTAACCCATTGGGCATATAATACGACACGTAATGAGCAAGATGATCTCGTGTCAATTGAAAAATACAATCAACAGTATTCCGTAATGTCTTGCGTCTGTTTGCTGTGTAAAGCATTGCTTGCACAGGGTTAATTTTATTTCTTATAAAAATAATGATTTGTATGTCTATTGTTTTTAATTTTACATGATATTATTTCCACATATGTTTCTGCATTCTGTTCAATTCTGGATGTGCATTATGTCGCTATCGTTGCAGAAATCGCTCAGTGTGCCCATTTAGTTATGTCAACTTAAAGGTCCGAACAAAAGAAGCGAACTAATAAATATATTTTTGTCTTATAATTCTTCAGCTTTATGTTCCTTATTTTAGCGCTGTTCGGCGCACTGCTTAACAATAATACTTGTGCTCACTACAGCTGCCCACACTGCATTTCTCATTATGCTGCTTTAGGTTTATGACCACAATCGTTTCGATAATTACCTTAAGTTACATGATGAGTATCTTAGTGGGCCTTTATGAGGTTGTGATGGCCTACACGTTTGCCTGTGTGTTGCATATTTGTCACTAGAGCACTTTACACCTTTAGACCATTTCTTCGGTCATTCGGGCGTAGTAAAAATATGTATCAATACATTTTACACCCACGTATTAGTGAAGTTTGGTGGATGAGCAGAATATTCTGTTGAGCGCGCGTGTGTGCAAGTGTGCGTGCGTGTGTGCGTGCATGTGTGCGTGCGCGCGTGCGCGCGTGTGTGTGCATGCATGTGTGTGTGCATGCGTGTGTGCGTGTGTGTGTGTGTTGTGTGTGTGTGTGTGTGTGTGTGCGTGCGTGTGTGTGTGTGTGTGTGTGTGTGTGTGTGTGTGTGTGTGTGTGTGTGTGTGTGTGTGTGTGTGTGTGTGTGTGTGTGTGCAGCAATGTTGGTCTTTGGCTTGAGTATATCTTAGCCCACGTTCGAAGAGGAGTCACACTGTAATATATACATGAACCTGACCTATCAGCCCTTGGAACTCTGTCTGGCTTTTACCATTAAAATTAACCTGTTCCTCGGGAAAATTACCGTATTGCTCAACTCCGCTGAGACCTGTTTCGGCAGGTATAAGTATGACCACCTGCTTCAGTATAAATCCTGTCGCCGAGTCAAGTTAAAACGCTCACAGCCGAGATTTCTGCCCAAAATCTCACGTAGTGCCAAAGCCTTGACAAACGCCGCGACAAAATCTTTTTTGTATGCAGACATTATCACTGTAAGAGCGCCCACGAATGATATTGTGATAGTAGCAGCGCTTAATTTTTAAACCCTGCCAGCGCGAAGCGACAAAAAAAAAGGTTGGTAAATCACGGAGGGGGGTGGGGGTGCGCGAAATATTCGGGGAAGTATGCACCCCCCCCCCCTTTTGGCTACGCCACTGCTGGCCCAACATGCATGGCTGACCTAGCCGTTCATGGTCCAAGCTTAGCCAACGAGGTTGGATCGAAGGTGATTTTGGTTAAATGAGTGGTGCCACAAAATTTTGGGGCTATCCGAAGCCTCTTGTGGGTTTTTTTGTATGCAAGGTCTCTCCACACAAAGGGTCAGGACACAACAAACGCGTAAAATATATTTTAATTCAGTTCTAAAAGTGTAGCTGAATGCTCATTCTCGCGATCTGGGCCCATCGCTTGCGCAGCAACACTGACGTTGTCTTGCGGTTTCTGTTAAAATAGCTGATGCAGTCCGATGTTTAGTGGTACTTGCTGGAGATATCGGATCTAACCCTGGTCCTTAAACATCTGCCATGCGTATTGCCTGAATTGCGAAAACTAACCACCGGACAGTCTCAACTAATCTTGGAAGTTAAGGATCTCAAATACAAGCTTTTAACCACTGATCAAACGC